AGTGGGTTGGAGAGTGAGGGGGGGTGAGTGGGCGAATGCCGCGGTCTTTGGTGCTGCTGTAACAGTGTCTGAGCCCGGGGAATTTCCAGGGAGCACAGGTCTCTCTGCCCTGGTGGCCGGGAGTCCCAGGTCATGGTGCCAGCTTGGTGTCTGGCGATGCCAGATCTCTGCTTCCAAGGTGGCGCCCAAACACTCCAATCCCCGGAGGAGAGGGAGGGAGGCCGCCTGCTCCGAGGGGCAGAAGGCAGGGAGGAATCCAGGCCCACGCCCTCTTTACAGCTGCAGGAGTCGTCTGTGAGGGTGGGCTCCCGTCCGGCCCCAACTCCCACTCTGTTGCTCTGGGGAATGAGTTTCTCGCGGGGAATCGGGGACGCATTCAGACCCTACTGTGGGATAGTGGGAGGGCGTGGCCATGTCGCTGCGACATAGCCATGAGTGAGGGGAGCTAAGGGCTTTTGCTGTCCTCGCCCGTGTGTGTTGTGGCATTCTGCCCTCCCCGGCGTAGACGCCTCACCAAGGCCTGGTACGCAGCAGCCAGAAGTGAGCCTTGCACCACGGCCCAGGCCCACCTGCCTGGCTTCCTCCTGCAAGCAGCACCTGAGATTCTGAAGTCGCTGCCTGGATAGACAGAAACGGGCCAGCAGCAGGCTCCTGACAGACGGGTCTGGGGTGCCCGCGTGGGCAGGTGCCGTGGCCAGGTCCCGCACCTTCATGGTCAGGGTTCTAGGACACCGTCAGACGGCTTGTTTGGCCGGTTACGTTGGTGCCCCTCTGAACAAGGACCCCCAGGGTTGGGGGAGGCCTCGCATGAGTACCTGCGGGTCCCGCTCCGTCCCATGTGTGGCCAGCATGGCCCACACTTCTGGCATTTTTTAGCTTGACGACACTTTTTTTGACTTTGGGTATTTCCTATATTTTGTGTTGTAAGAAAAATCACTTAGCATTCAAATGCTAGGCAGATTGAAATGCTGAGTTTCTTACTATTTCATTTTGTGATTCAAGTGCATGCAAAATACTGAATCTGGTGGGGGTGATGCCCACGTGGAGCTGACTCTTCTCACGTTGTTTTTCCAAGCTGGAGAAGAAGCAGGCGCTCCCTCCGTTCCAGCCACAGATCACGGACGACTATGGTCTGGACAATTTTGACACCCAGTTCACCAGCGAGCCCGTGCAGCTGACCCCGGACGACGAGTAAGGCCCACTGGGGGCGGGGAAGCGGGGACCCCGGAGCACCCCTCGGGCAGCCCCATGGAGGGGCCGCACCTTGGGCAGCTGTTGACCCAGCCCGCCCTTGACGCACACCCTCCTGGCGTCATCTCCCCAGTGGGCGTGGGGGAGGAATCTTAGGTGAATGTGACTCTGCTCCCCCGAGGGAATGAACACACGGTCACCCCCCGCCGTCCCCCCACCCTTCCTGCCCACAGGGATACCATAAAGAGGATTGACCAGTCGGAGTTCGAAGGCTTCGAGTATATCAACCCGCTGCTGCTGTCCACGGAGGAGTCCGTGTGAGGCTGCGTGCGTCTCTGTTGTGGACACGCGGGATTGACCCTTTAACTGTACCCTTCACCACCGCATATGCATGCCAGGCTGGGCACGGCTCCGAGGGCAGCTGGGGACGGACGCTCGCGCCGAGACTGCGGAGGAAGTCGCAGGCACTGCTGGAGCGGAACGGCCCCTCGTGCCTGGGCCCGGCAGGCCAGCTCCGCGCCGGAGGAACTTGCTGCTGCGCCCGCGTCGCGGCGGACCGCGGGACCCTGCTGAGGGGCTGTCGCGCAGTTCCGGAGGTGCACATCTTCCGTGGAAACACAGCTCCGTGCACTGACCTGCTCCGCCAGGAAAGCGAGCGTGTAGCGTCCCGAGGAATAAAATGTTCCGATGATGTCGAAGCTCCTCTGATGCCTTTTTTCCGTGAGTGGCGCCTGCCCCACGCTCAGACGAAACCCACATGTAGGGGGGCAGTTTAGGAGCCAGCAGGACATGGCGGGGCGGGGGTCTAAGTGCCTGTGGGGACCCGCTGCGGCGAAGAATTGTACAAACTCTGCCGTGTCTTACGTTCCGGTAAGTTCCTGTCGTCTTCCCGCAGCGCGTGGGCCCAGCCGCTGGGGCCTGAGGGTGAAGTGACACCTTAAGCAGAGGGCGGCTGGACCAGCCAGCTCACGGGACCCATGCGGGAACCAGATCATGGCAGTTCTAATACGTGGCTCACCAAAGCACAGTAAACCAAAAGATGAAAGGAAAACTAAAACTTAAATCCGCATTGCTGACACTCAGCAGTGCCTACGTGATGCCTCGGGCGACGCTCTGCGTTTTGGAAAATATTCTTGCCTGTCGCATGGTACTCAGAATTAGGGAAAACTAAAAGGTGTCCCTGTGATGGACCCCAGCCTTAAAGCTGAACAGTGACCCTACAGACACCCAGAAACATGCATTTCCCAGCGGAGCGGCCTCCTGCTTCCAGGATGGCCCCCACGCTCCCCGTGTTCCCACTCCTCAGGTGAAGGGACAGCTGCCCAGAGCTGAGGCTTCTAGAGGCAGGTCTGCCAGACGCCAGGTGCCAGGTGTGGCTGAGCCGTCTTCTGGGCTCCCTGGGAGAGGGGGTCACAGCACCTCGTGCCTCTAAGTGAGGCCTGGTGCACAGGTGTGGGAATTGCCATGTACCCCTCAGCCAGGTGCAGAGACCCCAGGCCTCCGTGACTCGGGGCCACCCCATCCCATGGTGCGGCTGGTGGCTTGGGGAGGAGAGGATGGGGAAAATCTTAAGTCAGAGGTTGGCGCCGCGCCTCTAGGCCACACCCAGCAGGTGAGCCTGGCCGCCCCCGACACTCAGGTTTCTCAGGGTGCTGCCAAGGCCTGCACTGAGCACAGCATCGTGGATTCTTACCTGGGCCCCAGGTGCTAGGGCAAGAATGCCAGCGCTGGGCGTACTGCCGGCCCCTTGCTGTCCCCTTCCCGTCCCCTTCCCGTCCCCACGGCCCGAGACCCTGGCACCCCGCCCTCCCCCAGCTCGGGCTTCTGGGTGGAACGTGGAGACGCGTTTCGGCCGCCCTCCCAACCTTAGCCGGTAGGACTTAACTCCAAAGACGGGGAGTAAGAAACCCCAGGGCAGAGCCAGGAGCCCTGGGGACGTGGGTCTCACACAGGTGTCCCAAGCCAGCGTGGGATGTCCAGGCGGCAGGGCCAGGCCTGTGGCCGCTGCAGTCACACCTGCTGGAGGAGTGGGGCTGCCGGGACCCCACCCTGAGTGGGAGAGACCCCAGTGTGTCCCAGAAGTGCTTAACAAGCAACTCGCCTTCCGTGAGCCTCCTCGATTTGTGAACCATGAGGCCCGTACCCAAATCCTGCCGTGTTGCCGACAGCATGCAGCTTAGCAGGTGGGCTGCTCTTGTACAAAATGTGTGAATAATGCTGTGCCCGTCACAGGGAGACTTTTATATTCAGTCATTTGTTTTACAAATTAAAGTGAAGGATGTGCGGAAGTGTGGTTTGAAGAATCCTGGTATTTGCCAGTGGCTCCGGTCACAAGGGTGTGTCTTTTGGAAGTGGTTCCTGAAAACTCTGGGGACTCGGGGGCTGCACGGTGGGCCTGCGTGGGCACGGTGTGGGGCGGCTGCCTGTGGAGCCGTGGCTGGTCGGCTCCTGTGGGTGACACTCCCCCGAATGTCATTTGAATGACCTCAAGGTCATTCAAAGTCTTGCACATCCTTTAAAGTCTTTAATGAAGATGCTTATATTATTTTACTTAAAAGTAGGTGTTTCGGCCGGACGTGGTGGCTCACACCTGTAATCCAAGCACTTTGGAGGCCAAGGTAGGGAGATCACCTGAGGTCAGGAGTTCAAGACAAGACCAGCCTGACCAACATGGTGGAACCTCGTCTTAAATAAATAAATAATTTAAAAAAAAAAAAAGGGTAGGTGTTTCCAAAGAAGCAAAGGTTTCTGAAGCTTTTTTTTTTAATGAGATGGAGTCTCATTCTGTCTCCCAGGCTGGAGTGCAGTGGTGCTACCGTGGCTCACTGTAGCCTCCGCCTCCCGGGTTCAAGCACTTCTGTCTCAGCCTCCCAAGTGGCTGGGATTACAGGTGCCCACCACCATGTCCAGCTAAATTTTTATACTTCTAGTAGAGATGGGGTTCCACCATGTTTGCCAGGCTGTTCTCAAACTCCTGACCTCAAGTGATCCACCCATCTCAGCCTCCCAAAGTGCTGGGATTACAGGCGTGAGCCACCGCACCCAGCCTGAAGCCATTTTCTTAAGTAGGCTTATGTTAGGGCAGGTTTAGGCTCCCACCAAAATGAGCAGGAGGTGCAGAGTCCCCATGCAACCCTGCCCTGCCCTGCCCAGCCTCCCTCACCAGGGCGCACTGCTGACAGCTGCTGGGCGTGCCCTTGTCATCACCCCACACCCAGAGTCCCCGCCAGGCTCTCACTGCACCGTCAGTCCCATGGGTGTGCACAGGCCTGTGACAGTGTGGATTCACTACTGTGGGGCCTCGAGGACCCACGCCCTGGCGCCCACCTGCACCTCCCCGCCCCTGCACCCTCTGATATGGAGGACCCACGCCCTGGCGCCCGCCTCCGCCTCCCCGCCCCTGCACCCTCTGATATGGAGGACCCATGCCCTGGCGCCCGCCTCCGCCTCCCTGCCCCTGCACCGTCTGATGCGGAGGACCTGCGCCTCCCCACCCCTGCACCCTCTGATGTTTTTGGTCCTCATGGTGTTGCCCTTTCCAGGACACCCTCGGGTTGGAATCGCAATGTGCAGCGTTTTCTTTCACTCAGTGATGTGTGTTCATGTTTCCATGTTTTTCGAGGCCCATCTGTAGCCGTGATTGAAAGGAAAATACAGATGTCCAAGTGTTCATCTTTGGTTTCCACACCACGTCCACCCCACAGCCTGTTCTCTCAGCCACCGAAGACGGGGGTCAGGGCTGAATCAGCAGAGCCCAGCTCTCTAGAACCAGGGGGCTGAGCAGGTGGACAGGAAGCTCCCTGAGGACGCCGGTCCCCATGCTCCGCCCACATGGTGAGCCAAGCAGACGGTGGCTGACAGGTCTGCAGGAGCCACTGCTTCTGTCCTTCCCCAGAAACTCCCCATTTCAGAAGAAGCTGCCTCAAAGCCCCTGGCAGGTGGCGATGAGGCCCTGGAGCCCCCACAAGAGTCTCAGCCCCTGCAGCCCTAACACATGACCACGGACCTGGGGCTTCAAGCAGACTCTGGCTCCAGAGGAGGCCCTCGTCTGGCCTGTGTCCCCCGGATCTCCATTATGGGGCCCTCATCTCACGGGAGCCATCGCCCCGACCTCCTGGCCCGGCAGAGGCCTGGCCTCCTGTGCCGCCACCTGGTGAGGATTTCAACCTAGGAACGGGAGCTCCCGGCACGCAGCCCGCAGCACACGGAGCAGGAGCCTGCACTTCTCACAACTCGCTACAGCTGCAAGTTCACTTTGAGGAATTAGAGCTCAACTGAGGGCCGGCGTGGTGGCTCACGCCTGTAATCCCAGCACTTGGGGAGGCCAAGGCGGGCAGATCACCAGGTCAGGCGATCAAGACCACCCTGGCTAACACACTGAAACCCCAGCTCTACTAAAAATACAAAAAATTGGCCAGGCATGATGGCAGGCACCTGTAATTCCAGCTATTGAGGAGGCTGAGGCAGGAAAATCGCTTGAACCTGGGAGGCGGAGGTTGTAGTGAGCAAAGATTGCACCACTGCACCTCAGCCTGGGCAACAAAGCGAGATTCCACCAAAAAAAAAAAAAAAAAAAAAAAAACCGACTGGAAGCTGGGCCGGTGGCTGAGGCATGTAATCTCAGCACTTCAGGAGGCCAAGGCAGGAGGATCGCTTGACCCCAGAAGTTTGAGACCAGCCTGGGCAACATGATAAGAGGCCCCCAATCTGTACAAAAAACTAAAATTAGCCGGGCGTGGGGACGCACACCTGTAGTCCCAGCTATTCAGGAGGCTGAGGTGGGAGGGTCATCAGCCTCAAGTCTGCAGTGAGCCGTGACTGCACCCCTGACTCCAGCCTGGGCGACAGAGCGAGACCATCTCAACAGACCAAACAAAACCGTGACTGCACATGAGCTAACCATGCCTGTCCAGAAAGTCAGGAAAACGAGCTACCCCCAGCCTGTCCCGTCCTCAGTGGGGCTGCTGGGTGAAGGGGTCGGCTGACCTGCTTGGGACTTTGTCGGGTTCTGATTTCACTGCTGTGAATTTGCCCTGAACCAAATGTCAGAAAAAAAGCAGCTGTTTCATCACAACAGACAGGTGCACCCTGCTTTAATGCGCAAGCTGGAGACGGGGGGGGGGGCTTCTGGGGGGGGGGAGGGGCTTCTGGTAGGAGAGGGGCTTCTGGTGCGGGGGAGGGGCTTCTGGCGGGGGAGGGCGTGTCCAGGCATCTGACACAGCGCTGGGCTCCCTGGAAGGTGCTCACCACATCACATCTTCTGTGCTGTCGGCCAAGCACTGGGCCAGGTGGCTGTCAACATCCAGCTGGGTCAGCCTGTAAGGGAGGAGCTGTGGTCACCAGGCCACCTCCACGGCGTGCTGGCAGCAGGGAGCACCCTCTGGACCTCCAGGCCCTCCCTGCTTCTGCCGCTGGAGAGGATCCGGCTGCTCAGAAGTAAGGGATGGGGCCACCGCAGGGGCTCAGGCACCTGGCAGACCACACCCCACCCGTGAGGACGCTGCTCCAGGCCAGGCCCTCGATCCCACGCTCAGGCCACCCACGCCCCCTGCGTCTGAGCTGGGGGTGGGAGGCTGTGTCTGAACAAGCCCCCTACGGGATTCTGGCGCCTGCTCAGCTTGAGAACACGCTCATTGTAGGGCCTGCCTGAACGCAGAGCCCAGGAGCCCATCTGCAGGCCAGGGGAGCCGGCAGACAGGCGGCCTCACCCGGAGAAGAGCCAGGAGGGCAGCCGCCTGCCGGGGAGAGCCCACGCCACCACCGCGTGTACAGGAAGCGGAAAAGCAAACATGGCTGGCAGCAGCTATGCAGCTCAAGTCAGAGAATTTGTTTTTGACGGAGAGGGGGGACCAAGCCTCACCACGGAGGAGGACCCAGTCGCCGGCATGCGGGCTGCCAACCCACCACATTTAGAGGCCCCACGCAGCCCCTGCACCTCTCAGGAGGGCGCTGGCGCCGGCAGGGTGGCAGGCCAGGCAGAGGTGGCAGGAGAAAAGCCACCGAGGCCTGTGGGTCAGCGCCCTGGACGTCCAGCAGGGCAGGAGGGTGTCTGAGCACAGCCACTTTATCCCTGGCCTCATCTGGCCCCATCGCAGCCCAACTGGAGTGGCTGGGAGTGACCTTCCCCAGGCTTGGCCAAGGCGTGGCCCTGGAAGCCAGGAGAGTCACCTTCCAGCCATGATGCCCAGAGGGTGCTGCCAGGGTGGGGACTTAGTGCAGCTGCCTGGGACATGTCCAGGGGCAGAGTGGGTGGCTGCAGCCTAGACTCGGGCCTCGATCTTGCTGGAGGCCCAGTGGTCAGCGTCCCCTCAGGTAATCCTCCCTCGAACACCGCTGCTGGGGACACACCTCCGCTGAGCGGATAAGTCACAGGACACGTGTCCCTGTGTCCACCTGTCACCACACCACTCCTCACTCCCCTACAGCCACTGCCCTCACACCAGGCACGTCCGAGGAGTCCCTGGAGCACCGCTCAGCCTGAGCTCTGCTGTGTCCCTTCCTGGGGCTCCTGTACCCCGTCCGTGTGGCCATTGCGGCCCTCAAGTCCCCTTCTCCAGACCATAGCTGGATCCCCGCTCCTGGGGCTGGCTCCAGCTGCCGGCAGTTGCCTTCTCTCTGGCAGAGCCCACCCAGTGCCTTCTGAAGCCCCCGAGAGTCACTCAGTCTGAGACTTTCCCGCTTCTGCCCATCCAGGAACCAGCCCCACCTCTACATGCTCTCCCTGTGGCCACTGGAAGGTCCTAA